CGGGCCTGGCTGACTCACGGACCATGAGATCATGACCTGAGCCGAAGTCGGCCGCTTAACCGACTGAGCCACCCAGGCGTCCCCCCCTCATTACCCATATAGCCCATCCCCCGACTCCCCTCCCTCCATCAATCCTTAGTTTGTTCTCTATCTTCGGGAGTCTCTCATGGTTTGTTTCTCTTTCTCTTTTCCCCCCCTCCCATATGTTCATCTGTTTTGTTTCTTAAATTCCACATAGTAGTGAAATCATATGGTATTTGTCTTTCTCTGACTAATTTCGCTTAGCATAATACCCACTAGCTCCATCCACGTGGCTGCAAATGGCAAGATTTCATCCTTTTTGATGAATAATATTCCGTCACACACACACATATATACATATATATGCTTTCCTTATCTATTGGTAGATAGATATTCCATCCTTTATCTATGATATATGTGTGTATATATATATATATATACACGTATATATACACACACACACACACATACATACCATACCTTCTTTGTCTATTCATCAGTCAGTGGACATTTGGGCTCTATCCCTAGTTTGGCTATTGTTGATATTGCTGCTATAAACATTGGGGTGCATGTACCCCTTCAAATCTGTTTTTCTTTTTATATCCTTTGGATAAATACTTAGTGGTGAAGTTGCTGGATGGTAGGGTAGTTCTATTTTTAACTTTTTGAGGAACCTCCATACTGTTGTCTAGAGTGGCCACACCAGTTTGCATTCCTGCCAAAAATGCAAGACGGTTCCTCTTTCTCTGCATCCTCGCCAACACCTGTTGTTTCTTGTGTTGTTAATATTAGTCATTCTGACTGATATGAGGTGGTATCTCATAGTGGTTTTAGTTTGTATTTCCCTGATAATGAGTGATGTCGAACATCTTTTCATGTGTCTGTTTGCCATCTGGATGTCTTGTTTTTGGAAAAGTGTCTATACATGTCTTCTGCCTATTTCTTAACTGGATTATTTGTTTTTTGGGTGTTGACTTTGATAGATTCCTTATAGATTTTGGATACTAACCCTTTATCAGCTATGTCATTTGCAAATATCTTCTCCTATTCTGTAGGCTGCCTCTTAGTTTTGTTGATTATTTCCTTTACTGTGCAGAAGTTTTTTTTATCTTGATGAGGTCCCAGTAGTTCATTTTTGCTTCTGTTTCCTTTGCCCCCGGAGACGTGTCTAGGAAGAAGTTGCTCCAGCCGAGGTCAAGGAGGTCGTTACCTGTGTTCTTCTGTAGGATTTTGACGGTTTCCTGTCATTTAGGTCTTTCATCCATTTTGAATTTATTTTTGTGTCTGGTGTAAGAAAGTGGTCCGGTCTCATTCTTTGGCATGTCACTGTCCAGTTTTCCCAACACCATTTGTTGAAGAGACTCTCATTTTTCCATCAGATATTCTTTCTTGCTTTGTCAAAGATTAGTCGACCATAGAGTTGTGGGAAGCGTCCAACTCTTGATCTCAGCTCAGGTCTTGATCTCAGGGTCATGAGTTCATGGGCTTCACTCTGGGCTAGAAGCCTACTTAAAAAAGAAAAAAAAGAATCCTTTGCACTCTGCTTCCTTCCTGCAGTTTACAGAGTTGTGAAATAGCTCAACAATAATGAAAGGTGCAGATCTCTATGAAGTCCGATACCTGGACAAGTATGTGAAGCAGGACACCCAGTAATCTGCTTTTTTGTAGATTTCACTATCCTTCACACCTCCATGGTGCTTCTGGTGTGCAGGCAGGGGACTGTCGTAGACGTTTGTATGTAGCTCTGTTAGCGCTGTTGTCACACTGTGTTGTAGTTGTCCCACCTGTGATAGAGAAGTCCTTAAGTGAAGGGTTCATGCTCCCTTAGTAGCTCAGCACCCAGCACACTGTCCAGCCTATGAAAACTGTCTGGCTTAAAAACCGTTGAGTCAGTAATTGACTTAGATGATACCCCCAAGAAGTAAGGAGACTGGAGCTTTGAAAAGCTCCGATAAAGTCCCACAATTAGCTTGTGATAAGGTTGGGACTGAAACCCGCTCATCCATTCCCTCCCTCAACCTCCCTTCCTTCAACAATTCCTGAGTACCTACTGTGTACCAGTCGCTGGGAGCAGTTATGAGTCTTTGCCCTCCCGAGGGACTTTATGTGTAGCACAATGTGGCTTAGAGAGCATGGGACGGAATGCCTAGCTTGTGACTTGACCTCAGCGATGACTAGTTGTGAAACCCTGGACAAATGGCTTAGCTTTTCTGTGCTTGTGTTTTCCCATCTATAAAATGGGGAAGCCTACCATAAAAGGACTAAATAAGGTAAAACGGTGCAAAATATTTAACTCAGTTCCTGGGGCTATTAATCATCTGCGACTATGAGCCTGTGACTGTGTTAGACAATGTCAGGTCCTGGGCTGAAAGATGAGGAGAGCTTGGATCCTCCGCTGTTCGAGAAGCCCAATCTAGTAGGGTGGAAACGGCCTCAGTAGATCATTATCAGGGGACATGGTAAGTGCAGCAAGAGGGGTGTGAGGGGAATTATGGGAGCACAGGGGAGGGCTGGGGAGTTGGAGAACAGGACTTCCCCGGAGCTGAGTCTCCAAGCATTGGGAATGTTCCCACTTAGTGGACCCACTAGGAGGCTGCTGCGGAAGTTGAGGCAAGAAAATGGTAAGCCCAGACCAAGGCCACAACAGAGGAAACGAAGACAGAGGGATAGGAGAGAGACTTAGCAGGTGGACTTGACAGGGAATGAGGGCAAGAAGGTTCCAAATCTAGTGCTGTCAGCTGAACCCACACTGCCTTAGATGGGGGTTCTCTTTGCAGCTTTCTAACTTAATTCAGGGCAGAAGTGAGTGCTGGGGTAGATCCTACATAACTGGGCCTTGCCCACCTCATGGGACAGGGGCCTAGGTACTGGCATTATTCTGGATTGCAGAGCCCCATTAAGGAGGACTGGTATTCAGGATTAATTTTTTATTTTGGCAATTACTACCCAATTTGAAAAAACGTGTTTATGTATTCGGAAATATTAGCGACTGGGGCACCTGGGTAGCTCAGACGGTTAAGCGTCCGACTTCGGCTCAGGTCGTGATCTCG